CAGACGGTATTGTTATATTAATATACAAGTAGTTACATGGACGTATAACGAACAGTACTGTTATATTTATATAGATGTAGTTACCTGGACGTATAACGGACGGTATTGTTATATTAATATACAAGTAGTTACATGGACGTATAACGAACAGTACTGTTATATTAATATAAAAGTAGTTGCATGGACGTATAACGGACGGTATTGTTATATTAATATACAAGTAGTTGCACGGACGTACAACGGACAGTATTTATTATATTAATATAGATGTATTGTTGCACCTTTTTTTTTCACCAAAGGCAAAATTGTAAATATCGTCTGTGCCATAATATTGTCACGACAGCGGAAGTCACTAGAAGGATCATGACTGTTCCTGGCAACTATAGTCTTTTCTAGGTGCCCTCTATTTTAGTATATAAGCCCGGCAAATAAAGCGGAGAAATAAAAGCAGATGGAGAGATATAGAGACAGATAATTGAGTCAAGCGCGATAGTGACCTTAAGTAAAGTGCGTGAATCGTTGTGAATTATAGCGTGTGTTGAAGTTAAAGTGACTCTGGATATTGTGTGTATTGCAAAGTTGTATTGAGAAAGAATAAACTAGTTTTATGTAAGAAAGGACTTCTATGGCTGAAGTTCCTCGGGAAGAAGTTGTACGGAAATTAACAAATGACCAGAGACGTAACAATATCATTCACACACCTAAAACTAATTTTAGGTTACTGTATACACATCATCAAAGTATTAGGCCTAACTATATTTCTTTGGTTTACTGACTCAAGTATGTATATACTAGGCCAATAGGGTACAGACGATATTTCCAATTTTATATTTGATAAAAAGGAAATGTAATATAAATAACTCTAATTATGCTTATTACCTTAATTGTTTTTAACATTTAAATTTTTATCGAACCAACAATAATATTTTCTTTCTACCCGCAGCACGTTTTTATAATTGTTCATCATCGTTGTTTAAATTACGTTTTCTATAAAAGCTGAAATTTATCAAAATAAATGGGTGTAATATCGATGAATTTTATCTTCTTTTATTTCGTTTAGTTGAGCAAACAACAAGAGACCATACACGCACTTAAGTCGGAGAACAAACGACTATACAACAAACTAAAGAAAGGTAAGGTCTAACGCTGGGTTTGTGCGACTTATATATTTAACACAATCCAGAAAAGATATTTTTTACATAACTATCAGTTTTTTTTATTAACGTTTTTAAAGAGTTTTACATAAATTTTAGGTTAGGCACCTATTTAAAGTGTGCCACCTCACGCTGGTTGGTCACGTGACCCGTGACGTCACGGACGCCTTTGGTTACCTCAGGCAAAAGGGGGGTCACGTGACCACATAGTTCTACAGAGTGACTCTAGAGGGCGAACGGACAGTTGGAATGTGTTGCTAAGGGAAAATAGTCCTACAGCATACCACCAGAAGGCGTTGGTACTAGAGCATGTGTTGCTAGGGGAACCAAAGTGTAAGATGACGAGTTTATCTATGATGCGTGGGGTATTATAGTTCACGAAGGAACCACCAGAGGGTGTCTTAGATCGATATCAACACGAGTTAAGATGTGATTACGTCATATTGAACATAATGTTTGTTTTTTCATGTTCAATTATTTCTTATGCTTCACGAATCTGATGTATTTTGTATGAAACATTGGAACACTAAATAGTCAAATTAACAATTTGTGTAGTCCTAAAAAGGACAGTTTCGTGTTGCTTTATGTAAATTGTTCAAACGTGTAATCACTAACTAAAATGTAGTACAGTTTGGCTTCATAGTTTACTTAGACTTTTAAAATATTCTTACATAAAAGTAAGTTTGTCCAAACAAGGTAAGTGGTAGAGACTGTATTCAGTTTAGTCTAAAACTGTACTACACTACAGTTAGTGACACATGTGGAAAGTTTCAACAACTCTCATACAAAACAACACGAAACTGTCATTTTTTAGGACTACACAAATTTTTAATTTGACTGTTTAGTGTTCCAATGTTATATTCGAAATACGTATCAGATTCGTGAACTGTGATAAGAAATGTAAAAAAAAAACAAACATTATGTTCAAGTGACGTAATCGCATATTAACTCGTGTTGATATCCGATCTACAACACTCTCTGGTGATTCGTTCGTGAACTATAATAGCCCACGCATTATAGATAAACTCGTCATCTTACACTTTGGTCCCCCTAGTAACACATCCTCTAGTACTAACGCCTTCTAGTGCCACCTTGTGGAACTACCCCTAGCAACCAATATTGCAACCAACCGCCCACCCCTGGCGTCACTCTGTGGAACCATGGGATCACGTGACCCCCTTATCGCCTGAGGATTCTTGCGTCCATGACGTCACGGGTCACGTGATCCTATCAGCGTGAGGTGGCATTCCCTTGGGTGCAGTACAGGCTGGTTAACTACCCACCCATACCTTCGTTATACATTAGGCCTACGGTTGCCATCAGTTTCACTTGTTATTGTATATTTCCTTCGTTAATAAAATGCCGGTTTCCGTTTCGTGTATAAACAGAACGCAGTTTGTTCGTTATTTTTCCGAGGGTTCTTGTCTTTAACATTTAAAATAAGTCGGAACATGAATTATCAGACATCGAAATTTTCACAAAATTCAGAACTATTTCTTTGCTAAGACTTTGCCTCAGTGTAAGAAGTGCCGAGTCTGTCTTGTAATACATTTTACTGCTCTTCTTTGCTAAGACTTTGCCTCAGTGTAAGAAGTGCCGAGTCTGTCTTGTAATACATTTTACTGCTCTTCTTTGCTAAGACTTTGCCTCAGTGTAAGAAGTGCCGAGTCT